CCTGGAAGAACCATCAGGACCAACAGAAATAAATACATTGATGCCATCCATGGAAGAAGCTTGGCTCTCTTCAATGACAAGGTCCAATTCCCTTATTAAACGATTGGACTAGACTTTCAGCCATCCATGTAAGAATATATGAAAATGCTCTCTGAAGTCCAGCCAAATTCCACGGCCTGTTATCTATAATTTTAGTTTACTTTTCCAATGTCCATCAGTCTTGATAGCTATAAATACACAAGTTAGTCTCAGTAAACATGTGCCTTTTTTCCCCCAATGGATATTTCCTGTTGTTTTTCTTGTAGGTTGATGTTTAAGCGACTATTTCAGGAGGTTCACTTAGATTTCTGTGCAAGGAAGAATGCAAGAACTCAGCACCTTTGGCAGGGATAGATAAGCAGGAGAGAGGTGGCTGACTCCCTGCTTGAGTAATGCAGGTTACAGGTCTTTGCAGATTAGAAAATGCTAAATGTATTAGCTGGGGAGGACCAGAGCCAAAAATAAAAAGGAAAGAAACTGATGACAGTTGGTTTGCTTCTTGGCTTAGAATTGCATGAATCAGCAGCCTTGAGTTATTTTTAAAACAAGCAAATCTGATCTCCGTATGAAACCAAAGCTTTCAGGTAGAGATCCCCTTTACACATACACATTGTGCCCGGGACACTTAGATGCTGAGTCTCCCCCAGCCCTCCAAAGAGCCTTGATAGTTCTTAATACTTGGAAGTTTCTGTTGTGGGCTTGGCAGCCAAGTACCTCTGTGCAGGGCTTCCTGGAAAGAAGTGATCACTGACCAGTGATCAGATAGAAGGATCATCACATACGTGCTTGAAAGTGGTACAGAAGGGAAGCCATGGGTGACACAGAAGAGCACCTCACAGCTGATTCTCTGGAGACCCACAGAGTCTCCCCAGAACAGGAATCTAAGCTAAGAAGTGGGGCATTAGTAGGCTAGAGAAGGGTGGGAAAGAGCACCCCAAACAGATGGGGCACATAAGCCAGGGCCTGGGAATCTGGAACTGAGTAGTAACTGGAACAAGATAGGTGTAGCTCGGTGGAAAACAAAATTCCAGTCGCTAAGGGTTTTTGAAAGGCATCTTAAATAATTCTTCCACCCCTGGGAAATGAGGACGCATTTAGTGAATTGATCACCGAAGTCATAGACTTGTAGGAAAGTGTTAAATTCCTAAAATTCTTCCACTGGAGATTGGTGGCTTTGGATTAAGGTTTATGGCTCTGGCCACAAGGATAAAAATGCTGGAAATTTATTACAATAAGCTGGATTCTTGCTTTGCAAAGAGAGCCAAAGATTACAGCTTTAAGAGAGGAGATTTTCATTTGTTTTTATGGACATATTTACATGGTCTTCAATTTTTAAAATTGCATTTATTTATCTGGGTTGGGGGTAGGGTATGTCTGTGCCAGGGCCCTTGTATGGAAGTCAGAGGACAACTTTTGGGGAGTCTGTTCGCTTTCTGATGGCTCAGGTTATCAGGGCTGGTGCTTGTAACAATGACTGGAGTTCTCAGTTTTAAAACAGGACAAGGGATTACAAAGATGAGTGTGAAACATGAACAAATTTATTTACCGAATTTGTTCGTGTAAAGTTACAGAAGGGAGCAGGTAAAATCAAGAGATGGGGGAGCTGTAAGCCCCAAAGGTGATGGTGGGTGAAGGGAGAGGAGGATAAAGAGGACGAGAGAAGCCTTTGGGTGTGAGTCAGCTGACCACAGGCTACAGTCCACTTTGTAGTCCACTCCAGAACGCCTCTTAGTCTCTTCGAGAGGCAAGGCCCGCTTTGACCAGAGCCTTCCAGTTCTCTTTGTTGAAGTTAGTTACCTACAAGTAAACAAGAAGGTAAAGGACAACAGATGTCCCCAAGACGCTTCTATCTCTATTGTACTTATTGACTATTTAAGATTTCATTTTTAAGTGTGGGTGTGGGTGCCTGTGAAAGCCAGAGACGTTGGATCCTCCTGGAACTGGAGTTATAAGCAATTGGGTGGGGGCTACCTGACATGGGTGTTGGGAACCGAACTTGAATTCTCTAGAAGAGCAGTGCATGCTCTTGTCCTGCTCAGCCACCTCTCCAGCCCACGTTTGTTTGTTTTTGAGACAGGGTTTCTCTGTGTAGCCCTATCCTGGAACTCAATCTGTAGGCCAGGCTGGCCTCGAACTCACAGAGATAGGCCTACCTCTGCCTCCTTAGTGCAAGGATTAAAAGCATGGGCCACCACTCCAGGCTAGTTTGTTTGTTTTTGAGACAAGGTCTCATATATTCCAGGCTGGCCTCAAACTTAAGTAGAGCCAAGGCTGTCCTTGAACTCCTGATCCTTCTGGCTCTGCTTCCAGAGTGTCAGGATTACTGGCAAGTTTGGGTATTGCTGGGATCAAACCCAGGTCTTTGTTCACGGTAACTACGCAAGTACTCCTACAGACTGAACCACGTCTTCAGTCCTAATAATGATGATATTGATTCTTTATCAGTGTTGAATATGTCCAAGTGGGTGGTTCATGTCTGTAATCCCAGCATTTGAGAAACTGAAAGAGATTGCTGCAAGTATGAGGCACCAGTCTGGGCTACATAGTGAGTCCCAGGCCACCCTAGACTATAAAGCCAAAACTTGTCTCAAAAATCCAAATTGAGCCAGTAATATATAGCTTAGTGGTAAGAACACTTTCTGCCAAGCCAGAGAACCTGAGTTCAATCCTTTGTTCAATCCCTGGTGAAAGGAGAGAATCGACTTCCAAAAGTTGTCCTCTTACACACACACACACACACACACACACACACACACACACACACACACACACAATGTAAAGAAAAACAATACAAACAACAACAAAAAAATTAAAGTAATAGCATTAAAAACTGGACCTGGACACATCTGGCTACACCCTCTTGACTACTCTTACTGAAGATGAGCAGGAGTGATTTTCAACAGGTTTGGAGGGTTAATAGAACCAGCCTTCCCTTGGCTAGGGGCCCTTGCCTTTTAGAACGGTACCCTAATCAGTTGTGCTAATCAGACCCATGGTTCTTGAGACACACAAAGGAAAAAAAACCAGCAGCGCCTGAAGGAGTGGTGTTGTTCCCCCCCCCCACCCCAGCAACTTTTAGAAAATTTGCATTCCAATTTTCTTCACAGTTGAAATCCAAGCAGTTCCAAGGACTCAGTTGTTTATCAAAGATGCCTGCAAAGTCACAGGCTGATTTCACAGATTGAGTCTGAGCTGTATGTATGTCATGAAGTCCAGTAATGGATGGGTCACGGTTATTATGGGTGACAGTATTAAGTCAGAAATACCAATGATAAATGCATTAAAAACAGAAATTCCTGGGTTTGTTTTACAAATGTATGGGTTGAAAGGATCTGTAACGTCCATGCTGGAATGAATTGCACAACACAAAGTTGACCCTGACTTCTGTGCTCATGGTCAGGGTGACCTATAGATCAGGGACATGACTCAGGAGTTTACTGCATGGTACATCCATGTAGTGTCTATTGCACCAATCAGTTGAGCTACATACAATCTTATCTAAACACAAATAACTGCACTATTAACCCCAGGCATGAAAACCAGCTGCTCCATACCTAGAAGATGTACAAGTTGAGGCTAATGGGGCTCCCTTCCTCCTCATGACATGGACCAGGCCCTTAATTCATAAATGTATGCTTTTGTTCTGTTCAACATCTCAGAAGTACCGAATGCCATTTTGAGTCCTGTGTTTGTGGCTTTGTGCAGAAGTCCGTGGCAGGTGTCAACTTTGAATGGAGACCATGTCTGGAGGAAAGCCAGACTTCATAATTGACACACAGGCTGTTTTGTCAAGAGGATGTCCCCTCAGCTGTAGGGGACTTGGTTTCCTTATGTTCACACCTTACAATAACAAAGTGTCCTCAAGACAGTTACCCTGTCCTGGGACTCTACAGGCTGTGGAGCTGCGAAGGGCTAAACTGGGCTGTTGACAGAGGGTTAAACAGACTATGAGAGACAAGAACACTTGGACCAGCCTGTCATGCACTGGACAGATTGCTTGCTATTATATTACCCAGTATCTTTTTTTTTTTTTTTTTTTTTTTTTTTTTTGACAGGGTCTCTCTCACTATGTTGCCATGGCTGGCTTAGAACACGCTGTATAGACCAGGCAGGCTTTGAACTCATGAGATCTGCCTACCTCTGAGTGCTGAGATTAAAGCTGTATGCTTCTACATCCAGTAGAATTTTTTTTTTAAAGGTTAGGGATGTGGCTCGGTTGATAGAGGCTTTTGTAGCATCTAGAACTGCCTGCATTCGAGACCCAGCACCAATAAACCAAGCATAGTGGTGGATGGCTATTTTTCAACACTTGAGATAAGCAGTCTCAAAAAAAAAATACATAAATGAAAGCTGGTCCTTGTATGTGTCAAGTTCATACTTGACCATTTTACTTGAGTGTCTCGGTCTATAAAATTAATAATAAAATTTTCACAGTGTTGCTGTGAGGTTGGAGTGAGGCATCTGGGTATTGACTTAACTTCTTTCTGCCCCTATTCTTCTCATACTTCTTCCCCAGCTTCCCCATCATAAATAAAGAAAGAAACCAATCAGGCCTACCATGAAAGTCAGACGGCAGATCTGAGCTGTGGGCCCTGTGCCTGGCCTGTCACTGTCCCTTCCTTGCCCTGTGTTTCCATTGCACAGGAACTTGTTTGTCACATGGTTATGTCCTGTGTCTTTTCGCTCAGCAAAACCCGAATCAAAATAAGGAAGGGGACCACAAAGCAACCACATCTTTGAAGTGCTGAGGCTGCTGCGATTTTCACACAGGAGAGATTTTTAAAATCAACGTTCTTATTTCTAGACATAGATGTCATTTAGCTAACCCTGTCTGTCTTAGGGTTTCTGTTGTTGTGATGATACACCATGACCAAAAAGCAAGTTGAGGAGGAAAGGGTTTATTTGGCTTACACTTCCATATTGCTGTTCATCATTGAAAGAAGTCAGGACAGGAACTCAAACAGGGCAGGAACCTGGAGGTGGGAGCTGATGCAGAGGCCTTGGAGTGGTGCTGCTCAGTGGCTTGCTTCCCCTGGCTTTCTCAGCCTGCTTTCTTATAGAACCCAGGACCAGCAGCCCAGGGATGGCACTTCGCACAATGGGCTGGGCCCTTCCCCAGCCAATCACTAAATTAAGATCTTATGAAGACATCGTCTCAGCTGAGGTTCCCTCTTCTCAGATAACTTCATTTGTGTGTCAAGTTGACATAAGACTAGCCAGCACAACTGACCCCTTGTCAACTTGACTCACAAACGTGTTGCTATTAAGCCAGACCTTTCCTTTCTTTTACCACCAAGAGTCTCACATTAGAAACATAAAACCTTTAATAGTCCCACAGTCTTACAAATTCAAACACATTAAAATTTCACTCTCTTCAGGGCTGTGGGGTTGAGGGCTGGGCAGCAGCATCTTGAACACCATGAGAGGCTTCAGCATCAAGGATGGTACTGTGTCTTCCTCACCAATGTGTCGTACTCAGGAAATGAGAAAAGAGTGCATTGGTGAAATTATTAAGGCCACTCCACGTAGTTAAAAGGGAGGTTTATTTTGTGGTGTAACTTACAAGTGAAGGGATAGTTTTTACATGGGTCTGGGAAAGGTGTAGCGCAGTCCGGCGGTGTTCTCTGGAGAACTCTGCTCGGTCTACCTCCAGCGTCCAGGGTCCAGGAACCAAGAGAGCTGGTGCATCGGATCTTGGGTCTTCAGGGTCCTCTCTTGGCCCCGCCTTGTAGTTGTGACAGTTACCGAAGCCTCAATGGGGGTTAGAACTTCCAGATCAAAGCTGGAATGGCTACCCACTACAGGAGTGTGTATTTCTCCATTTCATGAGATTACAATTTATTCAGATAAGGATGTATTCTGCAAGGTGGTTGAGATTCTATGCTGGTCAAATGAAAAAATGGAGATTGCAACAAAGGACCCTTTAAATCCAATTAAGCAAGATGTGAAAAAAAAAAGGAAAGCTCCATTACGTTGCAAATGTATTCGCTTATACATCAGGAACTATGGTGCCATCCTTCAGACATGGGAAGACCCAGGACACAGTGACAAACGCACTGGCTGTTGTGGTGACAATGACCCAATAGATATTTGTGAAATTGGAAGCAAAGTGTGCAAAAGGTGATAATAGTCAGGGTGAGAGTTCTGGGTATATTGGCTACGATTGATGAAGTTGGAACCAACTGGAGGAAAGTCACTGCTATTAATGTGGACAATCCAGATCCAGCCAGTTATAATGGTATGGCTGATGTTGAATGGCTGACACCTGGCTACTTAGAAGCTCCTATTGACCGTTTTAGAAGGTATGAGATTCCTGACGGAAAACTAGAAAATGAGTTTGCATTCAATGCAGAATTTAAAGACAAGGATTTTGCAATTGACATTATTAAAAGCATTCATGATTATTGGAAAGCATTAGTGACTAAGAAAACAGATGGAAAAGAAATCATTTGCATGAACACCAGCATCAGAGAGCCCCCCTTCAAGTGTGGTCCTGATGCTGCCAAAGCCATTATGGATGCTTTGTCACCACCATGTGAATCATCCTGCTCCCTGCCAACAGATGTGGATAAATGGTTCCATCACTAGAAAAACTGATGAGATTCCTCTGGAATACAAGGTGAGACTGCTGCATCCTGTTCACCTGGAAACATTAGATGCAAAAGTATTATCGATTTTTCACAGCTTTAAATTTCTATAACTTACCTAATGAAGTAGATTCTCTGTGACCTGTCTAACATGTTCAGAAAGTTAGCCATCCAGACATTTCACCTCTCAACCAAGACAGCTTTTACTACATGTTAGCTTTCAAAGCCAGGGTAACATGGAAGTCATTTGGGCGTAGATAAACACATATTACTGTGTTAGGAAATAAAATTATTTTGCAGAAAAAAATTCAAGCTCTCTGAAAATCCAAAATCTCTTTTAAAAGTTCAAATTCTAAAAGAGATTTTGGATTTTTAGAGAGCTTGAATTTTTTTCTGCAAAATAATTTTATTTCCTAACACAGTAATATGTGTTTATCTACGCCCAAATGCGTAGCGGTGGTGGCGCACGCCTTTAATCCCAGCACTCGGGAGGCAGAGCCAGGCGGATCTCTGTGAGTTCGAGGCCAGCCTGGTATCCAAAGCGAGTACCAGGAAAGGCGCAAAGCTACACAGAGAAACCCTGTCTCGAAAAACCAAAAAAAAAAAAGTTCAAATTCTTTCAGCTGTAGGCTCCTGTAAAAATCAAGATTAAATTAAATACCTTCTTCAAGAGAGAAGAACCAGGGGGCTGGAGAGATGGCTTAGTGTAAGAGCACTAGCTGCTTTTCCAGAGGACCCAGGTTCAATTCCCAGCACCCACATAGCAGCTCACAACTGTCTATAACTCCAGTTCCAGGGGACCCGACACCCATGGCAAAAGACCAATGTACATAAAATAGAAATAAATACAGAGAGAGAGAGAGAGAGAGAGAGAGAGAGAGAGAGAGAGAGAGAGAGAGAGAGAGAGAGAACGACAACCAGGGCACAGTCACAATCCGAACCAAGCAAAACCAAAACTCCAACAGCATAAATAACTCAATGTCTAATTACATGGAATTCACTCACTATCTTCTGGGCTCCTCCAAGGAGCTTGGGTCGCTTCGCCAGCTCTGCCCTCTGCAGCACACACAGCTTGTCTTCTAGGCTCTGGCTGGCTGCATTTCACTGCCACTGCTGTTCTTGGTGATCATCCCATGGTACTGGCATCTCCAAAACACTGGTGTCTTCTACTGCAACTGGGCTGCAACTTTCACCAATAGCCTCTCATAGGCTCTCTTCATGGTGCCAAGCCTCAACTTCTTTGCATGACCCCTTCATTCCAGGGCCTTCAGCTGCCACTGAGGCTGTACCTTCACCAATGGACTCTCTTGACCTCTCGCTGTCAAGCTTCAGCTGCTTTCCATGACCCTTCATGACTTCAAAACCAGTACCACCTGGGTGAGTCTTACACCAATACCAAGTTCGGCTGTCAGCACAAGGCAAAACCTCAGCCACCTCTGGAACACAGCTTGTATGTGCCGACCCTGAGTAAACATCCCAGATTTCACCACAGTGATGCTTGTCTCTTCTGAATCACCATTACTTTCTTAGCTCCAGCTAGCCAGCATCAATTGTCCCAGTAATGTAAGAGATTCACTTCAATGTTGCCAGGCTCTTGTTAATTACGGATGACTCTTCAGCCCCAGCTTTCCAAAACGACAAAATTTCCACTCAAAACAGAAAACGGTCCCAATAGAGTGTTTAAAGTGCCCTCTGAAACTTCACAAGCCAGGCTTCCATCCTCTGCACCGCTCTCAACTTTGTCTTCAAATCTCCAACAAAACAGCCCACTGAGCTCTCAATACTCAGTAGCTTTTCCAGCCTAAGGTTCCAAAGTCCTTCCACAATCCGCCCAAAAACATGACCAGGTCCGTCACAGCAATATCTCACAGTCCTGGTACCAACTTGTGTTAGTTAGGGTTATCTCTTGCTGCGATGAAACACCATGACCAAAAACCTAGTTGGGGAGGAAAGGGTTTATTTGGCTTACACTTCCATATTACTGATCATCATCGAAGGAAGTCAGGGCAGGAACCTCAAGACAGGAGCTGATACAGAGGCCATGGAGGAGGGCTACTTACAGGCTGGTGGCTTGCTCAGCCTGCTTTCTTATAGAACCCAGGACCACCAGCCCAGGATGACACCACCAGCCCAGGATGACACCACCTGCAATGGGCTGGGCTCTCCCTCAACAATCACTGATTAAGAAAATGCCTTACAGCTGGACCTTACGGAGGCATTTTCTCAATTGAGGTCCCCTCCTTTTAGCAACTTGTGTGTCAAGTTGACATAGACTAGCCAGTAGACTGTCTCAAGAAAGCAAACACACACGAAAGAAAACAATGAACTTTCCTTACCTGCACATGTATAGGAAAACATGCACTAGGGTTTTCAAAATAATTATCACTTATAGATTGATGAGAATATCTTAGGATTTTGATGGATGTTTTTGTCTTTGGTTCTGCACTAGCGTTTCATATAGCCCAGGCTCTCCTTGGGCTCCCAGTTTTTTTTTTTTTTTTTTTTTTTTTTTTTTTTTTTTTTTTATTTTATTTTTTTTTTTTTTTTGGTTTTTCGAGACAGGGTTTCTCTGTGTAGCTTTGCGCCTTTCCTGGGACTCACTTGGTAGCCCAGGCTGGCCTCGAACTCACAGAGATCCGCCTGGCTCTGCCTCCCGAGTGCTGGGATTAAAGGCGTGCGCCACCACCGTCCGGCTTGTTTTTTTGTTTTTTTGAGACAGGGTTTCTCTGTATAGCTTTGCGCCTTTCCTGGAACTCGCTCTGTAGCCCAGGCTGGCCTCGAACTCACAGAGATCCGCCTGCCTCTGCCTCCTGAGTGCTGGGATTAAAGGCGTGCGCCGCCACCCACCGCCTGGCTTGGGCTCCCAGTTTTTAAGAGACAGGCCTTAAATGGTTATCCTCCTGCCTCTCTGCCTCCAGTGGGATTATAGATGTACCACACCATGGCCTGGTTTGCTAAGCTTTCCGAGAACAAGTCAGTCTACATCATTCATTAGGCCAGGAGTAATGAACAGTAAAGATGGGAACATCACTGTTAATTTGCTTTCTGCAAGGATCATACTATAAAACTTTAAGGCACAATGAAAATATTTCCAAGTGTCATAATGAATTGTTCGAGCTATAATTTGATCATTCATTTTTTAGTATGCCTTCATCCCAGATAATTTAGAAATAAAACTTAATCTTTAGAGCATTAAAAGTGCTATATTTTTTATTTTTTATTTTAGAGGGGGTGCTGAGACTGTGTCACATAGCTCAGGCAAGCCTAGAAGTCAATATGTAGCTGAAGATAGCCTTGAACTGACTTTGCTTCCCAAGTGATGGGATTACAGGTATGCACCGCTACACCCTGTTTATTATTTTCTTATTAATCCATCACCATCAACTCTATGTTTCTCAAATCCAAATATAAAGACTAAAAGCTTTTAAAAGAGAAAATACTTAATAGGAATGGAAAAGGATTATATCCATATATTTTAGCTTTCACATTTTCATTGTATAAATGTACTGCACAGGGGATTGTGTAATGTAAGGACTTTCTCCATGCAAGTATATATTGAGCTTAAACATTTTTATTTGAAAGATACTAGATGGAACACACAGGTAATCTAGAACTCACAAGGTTCAGACGGTGGGGTTGTGAGCTTGAGGCTAGCTTGAGCTGTACAGTGAGACTTTGTCTCAAAAAAATAAAGAAAAGACATGAGAATTATCTTATGTGTGTGTGTGTGTGTGTGTGTGTGTGTGTGTGTGTGTGTGTGTGTGTGTATACTAGTGTATGGAGGCCAAACAACAACCATGACTGACATTCCTTCAGTGCTGTCTACCTTGGGCCTTGGGGTTTTTGTTTGTTTGGTTTTGCTTTTTGAGACAGAGCGTCTGATTGGCCCAGAACTCACAAGCACACCATACTGGCTGGCCATTGAGCCCCAAAGATCTGCCAGTCACTGTCTCTCTAGCTCTGGAATTACAAGCAACCATTCACTCGCCTAGCTTTTTTATATGGGCTCTGGAGGGGACTGAACTCGGATCCTCCAGCTTACAAGGCTTCCACTTTCTTACTCAGCTGTCACTCAAGCCTGGGAATATTTTCTGTAGAGTTACAAAAGGCTGAGATGCTAAGACTCAAAAGGGCCCAGGCTGTTCAAGTTGTCCAGTTTTTTTCACTTTAGATTAAAAACCAACCAGACACCCGAGTTCAGGAGGAGCGCATAGCCAATAGGAGTTATAAGAAGAGCGGATAAAGGCAGCAGGATATTCCCAAGCACTTTTGGAAAGCAATTGACTTCATGTCTCTTATCTGCAGGCCGGTGGTGGGTTTGGAGCCGGGTCAGCGAGTGAACGTTTTCGCACATGGGTTTCTCTGGATCACTTGGCAGCTCAGAAGCTGGTGTATTAATTATGAGAGGGAAGCAGGGGGCTGCTTTCCATAGCGGCACAATGCGGTGCTTTCTGTTGGGTGGGACTCTCTGTCCAGATTTCCTTTGTACCAGATGGCCGTCCCCCAAAGCCCCAAAGCTCCTGGGATCATTCGGATTCCAGATGTGCTCGCTCCTGTAGTTCAGCCTTTAGAGAGAGGCAGCGCTCTCCTCGCCAAGTCAGCCTGTAGACTCTTCAGAAATGTGGAGAGGCGCACTTCGAATATAGCCGATCGTTTTTCATTCCTGACTTTGATCAGCAAAATAAGCACTGTGGGGTTTTTGTTGTTGTTGTTGACATTTAGATTTTAAGTAGAAGAATACTTGCTCTGTGCATAATGCAGTGATGAACACCAGACAGGATCCAACTCCTGGGTCTCAGGGTTCACAGCTTCTCCTTTCTTAATTCATCAAACTTGTCCTGAATCCAATTACACTCCTTCCATTTGGCAAAATAATTCATTTTGTCCGTTAGTAAGTACACTGTACTTTGATATTAGAAAAAAAAAAAACATGTTTTCACTTTAATGTGTTCCAGATTGGAGATGCTTATTAAGTCTGGTCTGCCTTATTTCCCAGTTGTACCAATTAAAAATACTAATTATTTCAGTGCTTGTATCCCAGGATCATCATTCCATGAATGAAAGTTTTTGAAGGAATCAAAATTTAAAGAAAAGACTGATTTGGGGAATTAGTCTCATTTTAAAATGTTTTATGTGAGTTTATTAGACAGTGTTGAAACTCTACGGTTTCTAGTCTGTTCTGGGAGTCTGCTTTGTGGCAAGGAGTCATCAGAGTCCCTTGCTTTATTACAGCATGACTGTAA